GAAAGTTTCAAATTAAAAGCCCTTTAGGAGGCACCTAAAATATTTATTTCCCTGTCACATTGTGTTATCCTTAAGATATGCTTAAATTTAGATTCTGAAGAATTAAAGAAAATCATTTATTTCTAAAAGAGCCTGTTGATCCAATGCAAAGATAACCCTTAGGAGAAATTTGGCTCAAGTAGTGAAATAAATTCAACAGATTTCTCCTGATCAGTGGGGATCTTTCAGTCGAATTAATACCATCTTTCTTCCTTTGTTTAAGTACATAAAAAAAAACTCTTTTTAAATGTAAATGCAGCTCAGAAACATGAGAGTTATTAAAACCGAACTATGTTAAGCATACAAGCTCTGATTCACAGATAAAGGATACCGTAATACTAATTAGAGAGACCCAGGAAATTTGGGGCTGATTTTATTTATTTTTTTAGTATCTATGTTTGTTTCTGTTGTTTTTTAAAGCGCCAACGTGCCTGTGCTCATTTCTCTTCTCACCCTGGTATATCAGAGATGAAAATGTTGTTTTGTCCAGTTTTGCTCCAGTTAGAGATCAACCATTGGTGAAATATAAGCAACAAAGGCTAAGACACCAGGAAAATGAGAAGAGGGTCCCAGTTATACTGGTCATTTAACCTCATTGACTCTAAAACATCCTGATAGCACCTAGATCTTCCATCAGATCTTGGACAGATCAATGTCTCTATGTGCAAGGGAGGTTTTGTAAAAAAAAAAATGCATAGGGTCAGATAGCTTTTAGCAAAAAATTCAGAAGTTTAGCATCACAAAACTGAAACTGGACTCCAACTTCTACACTGACGAGTTTGTAGCATCATTGACCTGCTACTGTAGCTCTAACATGAGGTGTGATTCTCATTAAGAGAAGATACATTTTTGGTTTTATGACCAATTGGCCAATCAAGCTGTGACTTTATGATGCATTCATTTTCTGTAGTATTTAGAACTATCACCTCCTTTAAAAACAAAACTAAATTGTACTTTTTTATTTTCTTTTTGGTCGAGTTTTGTCACTTTAAATATAAAAATCAAACAGAGGATTTATATAAGAGTTTGATGTTTTATACCTTAATATATAAAAATCTATGAGAGAAGAACGTTGCGCTTCAGGCTGCCTGAAAACAGAAGGCTTCAATGCTTTTTCTGCAACATTCAATCATCACTCTGCTGGTTTCTGACCCATCTGCCTTGTGTGGCTCGTCAGAGCCGTTGGTTTAAATAATTCCTATTGAGATCACAGTATTTCTTATTTTGACAGCAGTTGGAAAATCTCTTGCAGCTTGTGCATAGTTGCTCATTTTCAGCACTTTCAGCTCTTAGAGGCAATTCAAAGACATTTTTAGGAGGAAGAACAGAAGAAAATTTGCTCCTTCGAATAGTGAAACAAACATCGATTTCATTAGCTTCATCTGTAAAGTAGAGGACTCATGTGAAACCTGAGAGAAATATTTTTTTTATATAATCAATCACTTTACATCGTGTGTTGCTAAATGTTTTTGTAAGTTATAAAAAAGCCTTCAGAGGAAAATAACTGTTAAGTGGAAGGAGCTTCTTTAAAAGCTAATTATTTCTTAATTGTGCCAAATTCATAGCAGAGATTTTAAGCACATTATTTTTGTCACTCGAACAAAGCTGTCTGATTAAGTGTTGTCATAAAAAGAGACGCCGGGCCAATTAGATTTAAGAGCAAGATGGACTTAGAGGCAGAGAACAATCTGCAGATTTGTCTCCATGCCAGCTCCCACAGATGGAAGCAGCACCAGAGAGCGGCTTCGATTTTCACTAACGCTCCTGTCAGGCCTCTTAAAGTTCCCTCTGAGCAAAGCTGTATTTAAAAGTAAGGAGTTATTACTGCAGAGTGGCCGTGTTTTCAGGAAGTCTCTGTCCTTCAGTGTTGCACCGTTTGCTCCGTAAACCTGCAGCCGGAGCTAAATCAAATAATCTCAGCAGAGATAATATTTACAGACAGTATTTGAGCAGCTGTTCAGTTCATGTTTGTTTCTCTACAAGGCCTGCTGTAAGTCAGGAGTTTTAAACAGGGCTGCCCTTTATTCTGCCATTAATGCAACCACTGCTTTTTTCCATTAATAGTTTGACTCTGAAGAACAAAATTATTTAGCTGCATCCATGAAATTACAGTTTAAGGAAGGAAGGAAGGAAGGAAGGAAGGAAGGAAGGAAGGAAGGAAGGAAGGATGGATGGATGGATGGATGGATGGATGGATGGATGGATGGATGGATGGATGGATGGATGGATGGATGGATGGATGGATGGATGGATGGATGGATGGATGGATGGATCAAACTGAACAAAGGCAGACATCTTGTTTTTCTTCATTTTCACCTACACTCACCGGCCACTTTATTAGGTACACCCATCCAACTGCTCGTTAACACTTAATTTCTAAGCAGCCAATCACATGGCGGCAACTCAGTGCATTTAGGCATGTAGACATGGTCAAGACAATCTCCTGCAGTTCAAACCGAGCATCAGTATGGGGAAGAAAGGTGATTTGAGTGACTTTGAACGTGGCATGATTGTTGGTGCCAGAAGGGCTGGTCTGAGTATTTCAGAAACTGCTGATCTACTGGGATTTTCACGCACAACCATCTCTAGGGTTTACAGAGAATGGTCTGAAAAAGAAAAAACATCCAGTGAGCGGCAGTTCTGTGGGTGGAAATGCCTTGTTGATGCCAGAGGTCAGAGGAGAATGGCCAGACTGGTTCGAGCTGATAGAAGGGCAACAGTGACTCAAATAACCACCCGTTACAACCAAGGTGGGCAGAAGAGCATCTCTGAACGCACAGTACGGCAAACTTTGAGGCAGATGGGCTACAGCAGCAGAAGACCACACCGGGTGCCACTCCTTTCAGCTAAGAACAGGAAACTGAGGCTACAATTTGCACAAGCTCATCGAAATTGGACAATAGAAGATTGGAAAAACGTTGCCTGGTCTGATGAGTCTCGATTTCTGCTGCGACATTCGGATGGTAGGGTCAGAATTTGGCGTCTACAACATGAAAGCATGGATCCATCCTGCCTTGTATCAACGGTTCAGGCTGGTGGTGGTGGTGTCATGGTGTGGGGAGTATTTTCTTGGCACTCTTTGGGCCCCTTAGTACCAATTGAGCATCGTTGCAACGCCACAGCCTACCTGAGTATTGCTGCTGACCATGTCCATCCCTTTATGACCACAATGTACCCAACTTCTGATGGCTACTTTCAGCAGGATAATGCGCCATGTCATAAAGCTGGAATCATCTCAGACTGGTTCCTTGAACATGACAATGAGTTCACTGTACTCAAATGGCCTCCACAGTCACCAGATCTCAATCCAATAGAGCATCTTTGGGATGTGGTGGAACGGGAGATTCGCATCATGGATGTGCAGCCGACAAATCTGCGGCAACTTTGTGATGCCATCATGTCAATATGGACCAAACTCCCTGAGGAATGCTTCCAGCACCTTGTTGCATCTATGCCACGAAGAATTGAGGCAGTTCTGAAGGCAAAAGGGGGTCCAACCCGTTACTAGCATGGGGTACCTAATAAAGTGGCCGGTGAGTGTATCTGTGATCTTTGTCCTCCATCACTCGTCTCAACAACAGCAGAATAAAAAAGGATTAACAAACTCTATGCATTCAGAATAAAATCTGAATAAAAGTAAATAAAAGTAAAAGTAATTGATTTAGCTGCAGACTAACAGGTCCAGTGTTTCCATGCACAGTGATCTCTATCAGAGGGAATCAGAGCAGATAACAGGGTTCCTCTCTAGCTTGGAGGAAGAAGAGCCTTCAGCGCCTTTCATCTTCGCTGTCGGCTCTTCTGCAGCTTCTGGGTTTCATCTCTTCAGAGGCTCAAATGCTTGGCTGGAAATGGGAGCCTAATGGTGATAGTGTGCACTGTGCAGTGACTGTCTCCCACCTGGAGCTGCTGCCTTCCTGTAAAACCATCGAGAACGAGACTCAGACCAAACTGTTCTTCAGGTGGACATCACTGATGCTCACACTCAGCTGTGACTCCTGGTTGGAAATAAAAACTGATGGAATGCTGCTGGATGTTACAGAAGATCTATCTAACCATGAAGACAGTCCTTCAGGCTAGTCTGGGGGATGGATTGTGGACCCTCTGCTCTGCCTCCAGAGGGCTGTCTCCCACTGAGTGCGATGCATGTTCATCTCCATTTACCTGATTATATAGGGAACATCCAGTCAAAGTCGGGGTGACTTCCTCTCTTTGCTGTGAGGAAGGATGAGGAGACAAGGAGAGGAGTGAACACCTAGACAGGTGGTCAGGGACACAGATTGGTTTCAGAGCGCAGCCGATGTTGGACGTCTGTGAGACATTAAGCACTAACTGCAGCTCTGTGAATCCCACTGCAGAGCCTCCTCAGACTCTCAATCCCTCCTTCCCTCGCTCTTCTTTCCTCTTGTGTGTGTTTAAAAACTTCTTCCTTGTTCCTCATCAAGATGGATTAGCCCTGAAAGGATCCCCTCTGTTTCCATCAGCGTCCCTACATTTTTTCCTCCTCAGGCAGTCATGTGTCATCCCTCCTCGCAGCCAGCTGGAGAGGAATGGAGCACATTAAGGATGGGTCTTTTAAAGTGATCAGACTTGCTGCCGTCATGTGGCAGGGCCATTTCTCTTCATTTTAAAGCTTCTGTCCTTTTGCCAATACTATTGATTTTCTATCATCTCCTTAATCACAAGCGTTGCCATTGGAAAAGTGATTGGCTAGACTCCTCTTCAGTATCTGAGCAGGTCTATTCAGCTCTGTAGAAGATATAGGAGGCCACCATTTGAACAGGAAGATAAAATGTCTTCCTCTCCTGTAAACTTGCAGACCATCAGGGTGAGCGGCCCTTTTCGCTGCTGGAGTTTAATTCACCAAGCTGTAGAGCCACAGCTCCTTAAAGGATGAATGTAAGCTGCATTACATTAGAGTAAAACCTTATGGCAGTTGTTTGTTCTTCTCTCAACATCTCCAGGTCCTCAGATGGTGTCTGTACAGCAGGAACAGCTGTAGTGAGTCATCTGAAGATGGGTGAAATGGAGGAGGCTGACCACATCGCCACCGACACATCCTCCCAGAAGGTAAAGCACACTCTGAGCTCCAGGTGGATTCATTCCTTGCTCATGCATCACACTGACCATATAAAAAAAAACTTTTAAATTTCAGAGTGTTTTCAAAGAGAAAATATTTACTGCTAAATATGTGGGGGGTTTTCTAGTACAATAAATGTTGTCATTTTTTCTGCATTTGATTTTTTTCTCCTAATATCTGCACCCTATAATCACCAATTTATAAATATGACTATATTTTAATGGGGGCCAGGTTCTCTTAGCTAAATGAAAATGATGAGAACATGTCACTGGACTAACCCTGGACTGTCACCCGACTTTGTTGCTCTCCAAAAGTAAGGAAATTGGGACAGTGAACAAGCAACCTGTTTCTGAACATTTCTGCAGTCCGAGCAATAAATAATAAGTTTAGAGAAATGGAACAGTGACACAAAAGGCTGAGTAAGGACCCAAAGAGAGATCTTAAAAAAAAAAAAAAGCTCTGATCTGCCCGTTTTAGAACTGCAGCACAGAGGGGCGTCCTGGAACAAACGCTGGACACTAAAGTAGAGGGAATATCAGTCCTAACATCACAGATCTAAAGAACACAGAGGTGACCAAACTTTTGTTGGTCATAAATACTTAGTTTGAGAAGGCAACTAAAGCCGTTTGATGAGTTCTATCTATAGTTCTGTTCTCTTCTAAATGCCTCAATTAGAGCACAACATGCAAATTAAACACACCCTGTGAGGAAAAGTTCAGAGGTTGCTAATTGGGTGTTTGAGCAGAGGGAGGTTCCAAGACATTTCCTGTTCTAATCCATTTCAGTTCAGCTTATTTCTATGCTTCAATTCACATCATGTCAACTCAGGTCACTTTCTAGATCCAGATCAATCAGATCATCAAGTCAGATTTAAGGTTCAACGTTTCTAAGGAAAACCAGCTGATTGCATCCAGTAATTGACTTTGCAGGATTCTCTCCTCCTGGATCAGCAGGTGGAGACGGTAGATGTTTGCTGGCATTGTGGTGTCAGGCTTCAATATATATATATATATGTAACCACTAGTGTAACTTACGAATAGATAAGCTGAGAAACTTAGATTTCAATGTTGAAGTTACAGTTAGTTTATCTTTCTAAGTTCAAAAAGGAGGATAATAAGCACAAACAACCATATTATCAAGAATGAACAGATTATTTAATACAACTTGAAACAGAATGTTACTGTACAGTTCTTTTTCCCAACATAAAGTGTCCACCTTTTTTATATCAGGCAGTGTATTTTCTTTTGGTTCAGATTCCTTATAGTTCAGTTCGTCCTTTAGAAGTTTTGTTTTTTTTAGTTCAGTAATTTAAGTCAGTCAGTCAAGTCTTTGTTAAATGGCCATGTGTTTCTTTGGATTCAAAATCTTATCTTATCCAGTGCAAAGTAGGCAGCGGATCCAGCAGTCCCAGGTCTTGGGTTGAAACCTGGAGCTCAGCAATCCAATCCAGGCCTGCGATGCTGTGCAGCTGGACAGTCTTCAAAGTTGAATGGGGTTCTAAAAAAACCCACCTGCATATATATATATAGAACTTAATTAACTATTAAGTTTCAAAAGTATGCAGGAAGCAATAAATTCCATTTATCACAAAAATAATATTCAACTAATGGCAAGCTTGCAAAACAAACGTATCACACTGTATCCGACCTCTTAGTTTGTACATAACAAAAATACAATACAGTGAAAATCATCATTTTAATCTCACACATTTCTCCGATTGGTATTATTTACGTTTCTCTGTTCTTCCTTGTCGGAATATATGAGCAGTAATGCCTGTGACGCCAGTTAGCATTAGCTTGATTTCGGTTGCAAAAACATGTTACAACACTCACCAGAGAAAATCACAGTAAAAATGTGTTTTACTGCCAGGGATCAGGTCACGGATCTTCTTTTCTCTTAATCCTTACCGGAATTGATCAAGAATTTATCTTATAGCATGCAGTAATTCCCACAACGTGCTACAGCCAGCTACGGTTTTCTTCTTCTTCTAATAATTTTCCGCTGTCTAAACCAGAGTGTAACTCACAAGCCACCTGCTGGCGGTTTCTGGTATGACAAGAAAACTCAAAATGAAAATATAAACTGAATTGCTGGGAACATTAAATAACAAAACAAAATCCTACAGAAATAAAATACTACTAACAGTATCACACATATACATGTGGGTTACATATATATATATATATATATATATATATATATATATATATATATATATATATATATATATATATATATATATATATATATATATATATATATATATATATATATATATATATATATATATATATATTAGTGCTGTCAAAATTATCGCGTTATTAACGCGTTAACGCGAGGCCATTTTAACGGCGATAATTTTTTTAACGTGAGATTAACGCTATGTGGTTTTATGGTACAATTTTTCCAAGTACATCCCGCTGCAGCCTGCGGGAAGGCGGGGCTATTTTCCCCCAGTCTATGCATTTCTCATAGGCTTCTAGAGCGGAGCTCCTCAAGGGAAAAAGACGCTCATACACTGGGTGACGCTAGTGCCTTTTCTTTAAGCCCCACCACCAACACACAAGTTGAGTGTAGTAGCAACCTGAAATACGCTGAGAAAACTGATTACTGAGGTGAAATGGAATCTCGTAGCAGCACTCTTGCCGTCTGTGTACGCAACAGGTCGGTATCGCGTGTGTGTGTGTGTGGGTGGGTGTGTCTGTGTGTGGGTGAGTGGGTGTGTGTGTGTTCTCATTTTTGTTAAGAGGCTGAAAAGTAACTTTCTAGAGAGCATAGACTACCTTCATCTAGTGATGTCGGTCTATTGATTTTGATGTATTGATTGAAAATTGTTCATTATTACCTTGGTTAATTAACATCTAATGTTAACTCTACTAAATTTTATAGCAGTAGGGTAAAATGCTTGTCTTTGTTCAAAAGACTGTATTAACTGTAAAGACTGTCTTTTACATCAGCCTGTTTTCAGGGCCTTTTTTTTGCCTACATATTTGTTATTTTTTGCTACATGCCTCCCCATCTTCTTGCCATATGTTTCTATGGCATAAATCAGTATCTGTGACCTGTTTTTATTTTAAAAAAAGAACATTGGCACAAACCTAGCCTGTATGTATTTTTTTGTATGTCATCGAGAGTATTTAAATGATTTTCAATCAGGAAAAAAATGTGCGATTAAAATGCGATTAATCGCGAGTTAACTCAGGCATTGATGCGATTAATCGCGATTAAAAAATTTAATCGATTGACAGCACTAATATATATATATATATAATAGGCAAGGCAAGTTTATTGGTGTAGCACAATCCAGTGTTTCTCATGAATTAGATAATAAAATTGAAGCAGAATAAAAGCAAATAAAGACAGAAATGTGAATAAAACGATTGAACCACAACCTTAAACTAATAATAATACCCCAGTTAAAAGACAAAGACCTTCAGGAGCAAAGCATGATGTCTGCTCATTAGATCCCCTCTGCTGATCCTGGGATTAGACCAGCACTGTTCATACTCTCCAGGACGATTAAACACATTTAGGTGAAGCCTAATGAGGATTTAAATGTAGTGTAGACATTTAACGTCTCTCTTCCAGCTCTTTGTTTGTCTGAACCTAAATATTTCCTGCAGCCACTGCCTTTGTTATGAACTTTAATGCAGCTCACTACTCTGCATTTAGGTTCAGATGTGACTCAAAGAATCAATTATTGCCTTTGGCACTACGGAGCATCTCCTGGTTAGGAAAGATTTCTTATTTTCTAGATGGCCCTTTCCCATTTCATGATGTCACCCTAGAGCTGCAGTAGAATGCAGTGTTGGGTTATTTAATAATGTTGTTAGTTTTTTATTGAAAAAGTATTGTAACTAATTCCTTTTCACACATCGGAAGCACCGTTATGTTACTTAGCGTCTAACTCAGTGAAGCTGCTTCTACTCTGGGAGAGACTTTAACTGCAGGGAGGAGCTGAGATAGAGGCAAGACTCTGATTGGCTGATCAGTGCGTTAAACACACACTGAGAGGAGGCAACTGGTTCAATGACACCCCACCTACAGATAAATGGCTAAATGTGACACATCAAATTAGTGTTCGGATTAACTCACAAGGTTTACTGTTCCTTTCACACAGAAACACTGGGATTATTCTGGGATTGTCCTGTTGTCGTTTTTTTGTCTGATTTTATTACAAAGTATATATATATATATTTTTTTTTTTTCTTAAATACCCTCTATTTTCACCATCATTCATATTCTAAAACCAGTTGAAAACTGTGCGAAAAATATGCTTTAAAACAGCTTTAACAAAGTCGGATCAACATAATTATATTGCAGCTCTCTTGTCCAACCATGGACATGTATGATGTCTTCAGATGTGCAGTCCTTTTCATTAATCATGTAATTCATTAATCAACATCAGCCATGTTGTATTTTTATTTATAGTTGAACCTTCAGTTGTAATTTAAGTTCTGATGAAAGGAAGTAACTGCATAGATGCTTTGGCTAGTAACCAGTTACTTTAACTCTGAGTTAATAACACAGCTACTTTTTGAGGAACTAGTTACTAGTAAAATTAGAGTAGTGTTCCCAAAACTGGCAGGGGGAATCAGGGCTCCTCTTTAGGAAATTCCCAACGCTTTGCAGCCAAAAAAACATTTTAACAATGTGGAGCCTGATCTCCAAAAACTTCAAATAAGAGCTGCTGAATAATCATTATTCTACTAATGTTATTACTGTTAGTCCGAATGTTTTCATGCTCCCAGAATCTATCTCCATTCATTGTGATTGTAATAACACCTCCTTTATGGAAACAATAACCTCAGGAATGTTTATGTGTCAGTTTCATCTTGACTTTGTACTTGAAAAGACAAAAAAGTCAAGTTTCTGATTTGGAAAATCTCTTTGCACGTAGTAAATATTTACTTGGCGTAACCCTCCAAGCATGAATTTGCAAAGTTTGATCATTAGTACATAATCTGCATATTGATTAAGGCAAACACAC